AGGTGAAAACAGGACTTTAACATGTAATGTTTCTGGGAGTCCTACACCATCTGTAACATGGACAGAGGTGGAGACTGGAATCCGTACAATGGGAATCACACTTGAGCTTACACGTATCAACAGGAATGAGTCTGGGGAATACAAGTGTGAAGCAAGCACCTCTTGTGGAAATGATACTAAAAGCACATTTGTTATTGTGCAGTGTAAGTGACAGTATTTTTGAGCTTTATTCTGACTGTTTCTTGTAAGATTAGACATGCATACATGTTTCTCAGCTAGGTAGGCTAATAAGTCTGCACACACAGATCTATTTTTGTTTTACAGTTATGTAGCATTAGTTTTTCCTGTACAATCAAGCAAATCACCAGCTGTTTGGCTGACAAGGTAGTGTGCCAATTTGGCTTAAGTCAGACACGTTTGTTTTTTTGCCAGTTTGGGTTGCATAAGATTGTTTTAATAAATGTAATTATTTCAATCAATGCTCTGGACACAATATGATTTTCAACAAGTTGTATTTGAAGAGGTACATGGAAAGAGATTGTGGTTGTGTAAGTACCAACATGCAGAGAAAGTTACGTCCGATAACATGGGGCTGGTAGATTTGGCTGTAATGGCTACTGCATTCCATCATTTGCTTGCCTGTCAGGCAAGTGACGTTTGTTGGGAGAATTGTTGAGGAAATTCCAATTTCACAAGTACTGTAGAGTTGATGTTATTGTACAGTATACACTGTAGGTTAAATTTTAAATTGATTAATCATGTTAGTGAGAATGACTTTTGGACTGACATGGTAGTCACAGCTTCACTGAAATGCAAACACAAGCATTGGTTTTCCTTGCCCTCAGAAGTAGAAACTTGTGCATTTATGAACCTAAAAGAAAAATGATGTTACCTCACACAACAAACTGCAGCTATAGAGACAAAACATTTATTTATACCATTCTGGAAGTTCTTGACTGTATGGTTGCAAGCGCGCTTCGTGAGTGTACAAAATCCTTGTCATGAGAAAGTGAAGTACATGTACATGTGAGTTCACGAACCTGCAGTAAACAGAGAAACAATGCTTATCTGTTATGTGATGACTTATGTGTCACTAAATCACCCACCACTAAGTGTTAAAAATACATGTATATGCGGTAAGAGGTCTCAACAGTACTTGTCCATGCAGGGCAACTAGTTGTATTGTTGAACACATTTCAAAATCACACTGCTGTCGTTTCATAACAATAATTGTAATCAGCTACTTGCACTGGCCATCCTTCAGCAAACTGATGTACATGTGCGCATGACAGATAAAAAACCTAAGGCTTCTTGATAAGAATTGTAATGATTAATACTGGCAACGCTTAATGTTCTTTGTTTGTTACATTTTTAGACAAGCCAGAGAATTTGCAGTTTGCAGCAAGTGAGACAGAAGTCTGTCGGGATAAAGTGATCAATTTTACCTGCTCTGCTGATGGTAACCCTCCAGTACATACTTATCAACTGTTTGAGAATGATACACTGGTGACTGATGGTAGTAACAGTCATGGAATGTGGAACAGAACAATGTCAACTGGTGGAGTGTTCATCTACAAGTGTGTGGCTAATAACACTGTAGGAACAGGACGAAGTGAAAGTGTTACTGTTACTGTCGATGGTGAGCAAGATAACTGCTTAATGTAGTAAAACTCAGATTTCGCTGACAAGCTTCTTTGTCTGTAGAAGCCTTTGTGGCTCACCAAATTGGCAAAAGAAGCTATTCTTACAGCATTTCAGTGAAATTCAAACTTGGCATAAAATTATAGTTATCATTAACTAAGTACATGTATATACCAAACCAGTGGACAGTGCTTCTCGCACATTCTGATTGGCTACTCAAACTCGGAATAGTGTTTTGCTATTCTAAGCTTGCGGAAGTTGGAAACAAAAGATTTGATTTCTTCGTGTGGTTTCCTACCATAACGGAGAAAGAAATTTTAGCAGTGTCTAAAGCAGCTGTCACTTCTAACACGAAGAAAACAACATAACTGAGCTTGAGGCATCTGAGCAGTGAGGCTTATTATTTGTTTCAGTGAAAAAATCAGAAAAGTGTGGCATCCTGGAAGTTGTCCTTTGTTTTGGGTTTTAAAATCTGACAATTCACTGGCCAGTACATGTGCGCCAGTGTATTAAAACATTAGTTTCAAGCCCTGCTCAGTGATCCTCTGACACGAAAATTCAGTTCAGTTGGAATAATAGGGTGTAACGAATTAAGTTATACATTGCACATCATTTATTTACACATACTGTGCATTTGCATTTACTGATCACAAATAATTCACAGGTATGAGTAACTAATGATTTGGAACTGAAATACTTTCATGTGTATATATTAATTAACGGTAAATTGGGTGTGCATCAGGAGTAGCGTGAACATCCTCGGCAAGATTTCTGTACAACCCCATACATTAATTATGCATGCAGTTCTTTGTTTAACTTAACAATTGCCGAAACAATAGAGCTCCTTTGAGACTAATCCACTTTTAATAACTATAAAAATGGCGCAGTGGAATCCTCTTTTATTCATACATGAAGTAGTAATTATCAATGTATGTATTCAATACCTTAGGGAGTTGCCATTGCCTTCAAAAACAATAGAGTGCATACATAATTAATTTTTTTGCATGCGTAATAAATGAGGTAAGGAAGTGGTTTACTGCAAAGGATTTTAATTTACAGAATCAAAATACTTGCCGACCTTAACAACATTTTATAGCTAGCCGCAAGCAGCCTTTGCTTAGGCCTCAATCGCTATTTTTAAAGCATTTTTAAAATGGCGCATAGGCCTAATTCGCTATTTGTTAAAGCAGTTTAATTCCTGCACTCAATTTAAAAATACGGTAAATGCGCGAAAAAATGATATTTCGCTTTCGTTTTTCCGTATTTTAATCGTAAAAAACCACATATTTCTCTGATTCTAAAAGAATGCGAGACAAAAAATGGAAAAAAATGGCCATTTTTTTAGTAGTTCTCAAGGAGGGCTATTGTTTCGGCTATTGTTTAGTTAAACAAAGAACTGTATGCATAATTAATGTATGGGGTGATACGGAAATCTTGCCGTTTTTACTTGTGGGGATGGTAAGCAGCTGCTTTATCGCTAATATGAAACCCTTTTTTTCTGTTTTATGCGGAAAAAAGCTCTGATTATGTGGAGGATGTGAATGTTAGCGAATTATGTGGATTCGCTCCACCACATCCTTTCAGATGCACTGCAAATATGTTTACCAGCAGTTTGTTGTATTTATTTGCAGTACCTTCGGCCATGCAGCCAATACAAAATGTGAATATAACCGAAGGAAGAAATTTGACTCTGTTGTGTAATGTATCTGGGATTCCTCCAGCAATGGTGTCTTGGATCAAGGTTGGGGGTGGTATGATTACTGATAAACGTGAGCTGGTGTTCACAAACATTAGCAGAACTCAAGCTGGAGAGTACAAGTGTNCCTCCACCAATGGTGTCTTGGATCAAGGTTGGGGGTGATATGATTACTGATAAACATGAGCTGGTGTTCACAAACATTAGCAGAACTCAAGCTGGAGAGTACAAGTGTGAAGCCAGTAATCTGTGTGGCAATGCATCAGAGACAGCAACAATTGAAGTGCAGTGTAAGTGAAGTATTGTTTCTGACTATTATGGTACTTGATGTATAATTATATATTTATATATTGTTTGACTGGAATGGCTGGGTTCCTGTGCAAATTAATTTATCAATGGTAGAAAATTGCTGGGTTCTGTTGATTTTGATTGCTTTTGAGAGTTTGGTTTTCTGTTATTTGGTGGAAAACATCACAAAATACATGTACAAGATGTAAGTTGACATAACCACCTAATATAACATCACTATCTTATGTTGCTTATTCAAGGGAAACATTTTTAAATGTACATGTACGTGTACTGCTAAGTGACCTCTGATTTTCATCTTCATTGCTTAGACAACAATTCTTGCAGTTATGGTAGGGTAGATCCTGTCAGTAGCCTACTACATCTATATGTAAATTAAATTGTGTTAATTCCTCAGATGCACCAGAAAATGTGTTATTGGAAACATCTGCAGCTGATAACAAAGCATGTCGTTGTGATTTTATGAGCATTAACTGCTCAGCTGATGCT